CACCAAACTATCGGCCAGCTATCGATTAGATGATTGCTTGATGATATTTGGTTTATATTTTTGATTTTGACTAGTGTCTAGTACCTGGATACCACATATATGAGATATGTTATAAAAGTAACCGGGTATTTTTAACCAGATAGGTAGTGAATAATACCTAGCTCTTAATTAAAGGTACTATTTGTTGGGTATTTACATCAATCGTTTGATCGAATATAGTAATAATACATAAATATAGCGATAGTATATAAATTCAAATAATAAGGATTTTGTCTGGCATTCTTCTTAATATATATAAAAATTGAAATGATAATAATTTCTAAACTACTAAAGAAAGTAAAATTATGTTTGTATATACGTGATTGAATTAAGAAGAATGGCTGGCAAAAAATCCTTGATATCAAATATAACCTGGGATTATACATAATAAATTATAAATTACTTACCTACAACCAAAAAATTTTTTCTTGCAACTTATCTTTGATCGAACGATAAATTTTTTTTTTTATAAATATTTGATTTTGCCTAAAAAAAAGGTCTAGACTTTTGTATTAAAAAGGATATAAGCTAAGACTTTAGCAGTTTTGAATATTATATTTGAACTTAGTTCTTCAGAAATTATTTTAATGTTTGATTAGTTACTGAATCATTTTTTTGCATTTTTAGATGGAGTTTATCATATTAAAGCTTCTCTAAAAACAACATTCTGTGTATATATACCATCTCTACCTTGAATTTCACCATTTTTGACAAAAATTTTAAGATGTGATGCTTTATGTACCCTTGATATAGCCATGTACAATTGTCCATGAGAGAAAACAGATTGTAGAAGATACAAACTAACATGAGGTAATGTTTGTCCTTGGGATTTGTTAATAATCAAAGCGAATGCAGGTCATATAGGAAACTGTTTTTGCTTTAGAATGAAAGGTAAGCCTGCATCTTCAAAGGGCAAAAGAGAAATCCTGAGAATAAATACGCAATTGCCTTGATGATTTCCTTTTGCTATTTTAGCATCTATCGTACGTGTTTGGAATTGTCAACAGATAAGCCTTGTCCCATTACATAGTTCATTGACTGGGTCCAAATTTCTAAGTAACATTATGGAAGTACCAACCTTCAATGTAAGCTCATGTGGAGGAAGACCTTGAGGTATTAAAGAGTTAAGATATTTAATTGGATGCATATTTAGGTTATCCTCTGGTACTGAATCAAAACTATAGTATATGTGTTGTTCTCCAGGATACTTGGCCATTATTTTCTTATTAATTTCATCAACATTACTATTTAATGAAGTTAATATTGCTCTCTCTGTTATAAAGATAGTATTTGAGGCATTTTTAGTGAGATTAGAGTATACAGTATTTATCAAAGAGTCAATGGAATCTTTGTTATTCTGTAGACAAATGATCATTTCATCAAGAAGTTGAATCAAATCATTTTCTATTGTGGGTTCGGTACCATTGCCAATTCTAAGTAAGTACTTTGCGAAAGTTCTTGCCTCATTATTGGCAGGGCAACTCGCATATTAGCATATAGGTGGAAGACTAGAACATGATGCCATAGAAGGGACTTGTTAAGTGTGGCATTGACTATTTAAACCCTAGTGCCTTTGGAATTACAGGCTAAACATGTCGAAAATCCTCTCCAAATAGAAATATTTTTCCACCAAATGGAAGATCATTTTCCATAATATCTCATCTACAGATTCAGGTGCCTTACGATTTGACATGAGAGCTTCGTCCCAGATTACCAAGACAGCCTCTCTAAGTAATCTTGCTAGATCAGTTCCCTTTCTGATATTACAGGTTCTGTATCTATTTGTCATGGTGATCAATATCTTGAAGCGAGAGTGTGCAGTGCATCTACCGTGCAATAGCACTGCTGCAATGCCTGAAGAGGCTACTGCCAATGCAATTTGATAATTAGATCATATATATGCAAGTAGACAATCATAGAGATATGTTTTGTCACTTCCAGCGGGGCTATCAACAAACAGTACACCTCTTTTACCTCTATTCATAAGATCTAGTACTTATCAAATACTGCATGCTGAGCTTTATTTAATGTATTTGCTTTAGCAAGGTCTTCTTGGGTAACGCAGTAGGACAACTCTTCTAAAATTATTCTTGGTAATTCAGCAGTATTCATTTCTGGCAACAATCCTGGTAAGTCATAATCGTTTACCGTTTTCATATGTCTTTGTAAAAATATATTCAGACTTTGAAGAACTGCCTGAATCTATGTTGTCCCTCTAGAATTCCTCTGTGTGCAAAATCTTCTGCTATTGCATTTAAGTTCTCACTCCATAGTTGTCACACATCTACAACATTGCTAAAGACTAATAATGTTGCAAATAGATCACGTAATAGACATTCGAAATTCTCTTGCTTCAGTTATGCATTGTCAGTGTTCATCATTATTCTCTAGGTAACCTCTGCACTATGCACTTTCTTTAAAAGTAGCACATACAATACCATTAACTATTTTGAGCTCTTCAAAGCTTTTAGCTCCTTTCACTTTTGTTAGAAGCAAATGTAAATAATATCATTCGTCTAAATAGAGATTATTATATAGTGGTTATTAATCATTTTATTAAATTAATTTTTGTTAAATTTATATTTATATATTTTAATAAATTTATTTTATTTTTTTATTAATTGGTAATAAATGGATAATATTACAAACCTTCACTTGGATGAACCATATATATTCTCCCAATACAACCCCTCGTGGTGCTTTTTCCATGTTTTAGTCACCTTATTTCATGTATAGTGCAAAGAAAAATCAGCATAGAGTAGATTTCTCACATTTGGGTCCTGTACATTTATTTTGAAGTATTCGGTAAAAGTTGTTTGCTTATTTTGGTTAGCTTCAATAACTTCCTTTAGAGTATTATTTTCATTGAAATTAATTTTGTTGGTCATAAAGATATATCTGTAAATATGTAACAGCTGGATTCATTCTATTCATATTAAATCTTAGGATTCTCCAGACAGCTTCTGGAGCCTATACCCATCGTGCTTCAACAAAATTTTGAATCTCATTGATTACAACTGATGAATGTTGAACATTATGTTAATGCTCATTAGTTACTTCGATCATTGCTCTGTTGTGACCCTTATAGACATACTTAAATAAATATTTTATTGCTTTAATGCTAACACAAATTTCTACATTAATATGGTAGCTGTATTTCACACAAAGGAATCTATTGTATGGAACAACCCACCAATTATTCAGGAGAATTGTTTGATTTCTTACTTTTATCTCAACTTGACAACCATCTTGTCGGCGGTGGTATATAGGGTATGAATTTTTTTCTTGTAAGATCTTACTCTGAAATTGTTTAGAATATCCTTTTGCATATTGTTTGTGCCCGTATCATCATCAATCATGCATGGAGCATTAGGATTGAGCTCTCCGCATGGTCTATGAATCATGCTAGAAGCAACTATAGCATATGTAATAAAAGCAACTGTTGGATCAGGTATCTTAGCACTAACAATAGTATCATAGTCTTCAACTATTTTAGCTTATCTTCTGGATGGAGTATAACTAAAATGTGTGCGTATGGAAGACCACGCTTCTAAAATTTAATAACATAAATGTATGCAATTGCACGTTCAAGGATCCTATATTCAAAAAGGTCTTTTTTTAATTTCTAAAGTTTCATACAAAAAATCTGTGCTATAGAAGTAAAAAAAAATCAGTAAAAGAGATCAACAAGATAAAATAGGCTGCTATTAATAGAAATAAGGTGGATTGATATTTTTTTAAAAAAATTAATAACTTACTTTTATAGCTTATATATCTCGATTAAGTTATAAGCTATAAAAGTTAGATATTGATTTTTTTTAAAACTCAATCTGCCTTATTTCTATTGATGGCAGCCCATATGATTAAAAATAGATATATATCAAAAGTACCTGTGATATCTGGTCTGTCTTGAGGTTTTTGTTCAGGCAACATTAGGGCTTGAATTTCATGCCAATTTGGGTTGTACGTTATAGTAATGAATAAATCAGGTTTGCCAAAATGCAATAAGGCTATTGCATCCTGATATCGCTGTATCATATCTCGAGAACCTCCAATAAATGTTGATGGAAGTACTATTCTCTGACTAACTTGTCTTGGATCACTATTACCACGCAAAACGAAGCCTTGAAGGCTTTTATATAATTCACTTCAAATCTTATCTTGGTTTTGTCTGTGAAAGTTCAGGTGATCAGATTCAATTTTAATATACATATGACACATATTGTTGGAAAAGTCTTTCCATTTGCAGAAGCATATTGGGAGAATTGAGGCGAATTGGGAGTTGATATGCATAATATTGCATTGCAGTTACGAACTTCCTGCATTTTATTGTGTTAGTACTTTCTAACTTATCATCATTTCTATCATCATTAGGACTTTTGTCAATATTAATCGACTCATTAGTAAAAGAAATGTCTCTATACGAAATTTGGCGAAGAGCCCAGCCTTGTTCACTATGAGGAAACAATAGTAGATATGACAGGGATCATAGCACCCAACCCACTAAACTCGGAAATACAAACTAATTGATTCATATGGGTGTGTAATATAATGTTACATCTCTGAATAACGCCAGGGACACATCATTATCAACTCAAATAGCTGCAACTTCAGATGATTATGGGGCATTGTGAGTTCTTTGATCAAGCCAGAATATTGGTATGGATTAGCATAGATAAATTCCTGAAATTTTCAGCAGGTAAGTATGAAATATATCAAAGATTGATAATATATAGATTAACTTCGTCGAGCATATCCTTTAAAGCTTGAATAGTAGATAGTTAAGGTTAAACTGGGAATAGTGTTAGCTCGATAATGCAGCTCATTTTGAATATCCCAGATATATATTTGCAAATAATGTAGTTCGGAGTCTGATTCCGGTAATAAGGACCCAATTCGATGGTAGAATGAACCTTGAACATGAAAGGTATAGACACCTGATTGTGCATTGGCAAGTTTATGATCAAACCTGGCACCAATGGAAGTGAAGGTGAATGCAGAATTATAAAGTCGAATTTTGTCACGGAAGTCCTTTGCAATATTATTCTGGTTAGAAAGTAAATGCTGCAAAAGCAATGGAATATTGGGCTCTGCTAATATCACTTTTCCATTAGAATAGCACATTCCAGAACTTTCTATAGGTAGTTTGAGAGCATTGCAATGGTTATATGTAATGCTGCTTGTAATGTCAATTTGGTGCAGAATTGGATAACTAATAATATTTTCTAAAAAGTCACAGGCGAAATTGTATAGTTGAGGGTTGTTGGTACGTTGTTAGTAGTGAGCTGCAGCATTTTGATGATTCCGATTGTAACGTTGGTCTTCAGTTTCTTAAGCACATTGTTGGCATTTAGTAGTAGCATTCTGTTGTCATTGATCTAGGCGCTACTCTTTATGTTCTTCTATGTAATAGCGTTGATAGGCATTAGCATCATGTTGGTATCGTTGGTTTCTTTGCTCATCAGTCTCTGCAGCTCTTTTTTTACGTATTTAAACAGTGTTAGTATTTCTTTGTTCTTGGCTTGTTGTATATGACATTTTATAAATGTGACGAAAGAAATTCAAAATTATAGACATGATAATTTACATTAATCGATCTGACGTAATATTGATATGTTTTTGGTATATATGTACAAAAAGCGTGCAACTTGATTATGTGCAAAAAATGTAAAGAACTCTAACTCAAAATTACATTTAAAATTAATGTTTCTTTAACTATGATATAAAGAGATTAGTACTAATATTTTCTACTATCTTACAATAGAATAGATATTATATGATTAAGGCATAATTTGATCAAGATTTCTTGAATCTTTAATTCATGCAACCAGGATTAAGTATTTAAGAGATGAGTTTGTAGTTAATAATTTTATCACATTTAAGAGTATATTATTAATTTTTAATACTGTATTAAGTTAGATTACTAAAATACTTATTTATCTATTTATTAGATATATTTATTTATGAGGTATGATTTACAAATAAAAAAAAATATTTGGATTTAAATATATATCTAAATTATGCTTTTAATCAAGAGAGTGTATCAGAAAAATTTGAAACCTGATTATAACTAGTTGCAAGCATTTAATTGATTATGATCGATTGATTTCAAGTAATTATTATTAGGGTGATAATAATCGATTTAAATCAAAATCGATTATGATAAAGATGCATAAAATTGATTAATTATAATAACATAATCGATAAAAATCTCTATCGTATATAATCATGATAGTAATCGATTAAAATCAGGTTTCAAAGTTTTCTGATACAGTTTATTCTCATTATAGCAGACCGTTTAAACTGGTTCTCTTGTTATAACAGGTGATTTTCTAGAACAATTTACTGCACTTTTTAAATTACTGTGATCAGTAATGTAAAAATGTAAAATTCATACATCACACCAAAAATCAGAAATCTAGAAAAAAATGCAAATATATGATCAGTTAGAAATAATTCTTAGCCAATCATGTATTGGCATTTTTTTGATTTCTATGATGCATAGAATTTGCTGATTATAATAATTTGAAAAGCACAGTAAAATTTTATTATAGTACTATATAATGATATAGTGGATATTTATTATAATGAACTAAGTTCCCAACATGATCAATCTGCTATAGTGAAAGTGAACTATAATAATTTTTTTTTTGTCACAGATTACTAATTAAATTTGAGTGCTGCCAAGAGAAAGTTATGATTCAGGTTTCAATTACTAATAAATTAAACAAATAGTTTGTAATACAAAATATAATCAAAAGCCTGTATTCTGGTTTTCCCTTAATAGTACTCATGTATGTTCTTAAGTTACAGGAAATTACTAATTAGATGTGCTTTAGGTAGATTTGAAATTCTGTGAATTTGGAATCAATTCATAGGGATTCTGAATCTATGTAAATAGATTGTGAATTTCGAAATAACTAATATTAGAATAGAATTTTAAGAAGCAATAAATGAAACAAACTTTGATGATAAGAAATATACAATAATCTATCACATAAAAATAGGATAATTTTCTCATGATTGGTCGATCATATGAAATTAAATATCTCAGTATAATTGGCTGTCTGCACAACATGTAACAATTAATCAATTAAATTACATTATATTCATAAACTTATTCTTTAACATTTCTTAACAAAAAAAATAAAAAAAGGTGTACATATATATTTTAAATGCTTATCATGCCTTTTATACTGAACTAATTTAATATTTGAGAATCTATAGGTTTATTATACCTAGAGCTTGTTATGATAAAATTTATTAAAGCTCTGTAGTAATATATGTACATAAAGTTTTAACAGTTAAGCACTTATTACTAACTCTACTTATACATATTAGCGTTCTAAAATCTTTTAAATATAGTTTAAAAATCAGATTATCTTTCTAAGAAAAAAATTTGTACTGTTAGTTTTTTTTTTCAATAAGTTATATTTAATACTATAGTAATTACATATATAGTTCTATAGTTATACAATATATGTAAAAATTTTACCTAAGTAAGGTACCTTTAGGTGTGGGATTATTCAGGATTATTTGCATAGTAATGGTTTGCACTTCTTTGAAGATAAAGACAAACTAACCAATAAAAAGAAAGTTATTTTATAGAGTAATTTAAAAAGCATGATAAAATTAAATGCGTTATTGTTTATAATTGTTTATCAGTTATAGTATGACTGATCTAAATAAATCTAACCAATCAAATCATTTAAAACACACAGACAGACAGACATTAAAATTTTAGTAGTATAGATATTATAAAAATACTTTTAATTTTATTTATTTAATTATATTATTATTATATAATTTAATATAATAAAATAATAGGTTAATCTTTAGTATAGGTAGACATATATAATTATTATACTATTATAATATATAAAAATTAACTATTTTGAACTAATTTAATTAATTTATAAATTATCAGAGTTAAGATTAAAATTTAAATTGGCTCAAATAGTTAGGTTTTATATATTATAATTTTGTAATAATTTATATATATCTATCTATATTAAAGGAGATCTAAATAATATTATAATTATATTATAACAATATTTTTATATATTAAATTATTGCATTGTATAATGCTTTATAACTATAAAAAAAATAATATAAAAATTATATCATAATAATGTAAAGGGAGCTGGTATACGTACCCCCCACTTTTGGTATTCGTACCCCCCAAATTTTAGAAAAGTGCTTTAAAAGAGATAATCTTAATAA